GGAAGGATTGCTTGAGCTCAGGAGTTTGAGGTTGCTGTGAGCTAGGCTGAAGCCACGGCACTCACTCTAGCCTGGGCAACAAAGCGAGACTCTGTCTCAAAAAAAAAAAAAAATTTCTGCACACATAAACTCAAAAATGTTGAGGAAATGGACAAATTTCTGGAAACACACAAGCTCCCAAGGCTCAATCAAGAAGAAATAGAACTCCTGAACAGACCAATAGTGAGCAATGAAATTGAAGCAGCAATAAAAAATATTCCAGCAAAAAAAAAGTCTTGAACCACATGGTTTCACAGTCAAATTTTATCAGATCTACAGAGAAGAACTGGTACCCATACTGCAGAAATTCTTTCATAACATTGAGAAGGAAGGAATCCTCCCCAACTCATTCTATGAAGCCAGTATCACATTGATACCAAAGCCAGGAAAGGACTCAACAAAAAAAGAAAACTATAGATCAATATCCCTTATGAGTATAGATGCAAAAATGCTCAATAAAATTCTGGCAAACCAAATTCAGCAGCACAGCAAAAATATAACCCACCATGACCAAGTGGGCTTCATCCCAGGGATGCAAGGATGGTTCAACATACGTAAATACATAAATGTGATTCACCACATAAACAGGAGCAAAAACAAAGATCATATAATCATCTCAATAGATGCAGAAAAAGCATTTGACAAAATTCAGCACCCTTTTATGATAAAGAAATCTTAACAAAATACGCATAGATGGACTATCTCTCAAAATTATAAAAGCCACATATCACAAACCCACCGCCAACATCATACTGAATGGGGAAAAGTTGAAAGCATTTCCACTTAGAACTGGAATGAGACAAAGATGCCCACTGTCACCTTCTATTCAACATCATGCTGGAAGTCCTAGCCAGAGCAATCAGGCAAGAGAAGGAAATCAAGGGTACCCAAATGGAGAAAGAGGAGGTCAAACTATCACTCCTTGCTGATTATATGATCTTATATCTAGAAAACCCCAAAGATTCTGCAAAGAGACTCCTGGAATTGATAAATAAATTCAGCAAAGTCTCAGGTTACAAAATCAATGTACACAAATCAGCATTCCTATACACCAACAACAGTCAATCTGAGAATCACATCAAAGACTCAATACCTTTAACAATAGCAACAAAGAAAATAAAATACCTAGGAATATATTTAACCAAGGAGGTGAAGGATCTCTACAAAGATAACTCCGAATCACTGAGGAAGGAAGTTGCAGATGATGCCATCAAATGGAAAAACACGTCATGCTCATGGATCAACAGAATCAACATTGTTAAAATGTCCATACTACTCAAAATGATTTACAGGTTCAATGCAATCCCCATTAAAGTACCAATGTCATTTTTCACAGATCCAGAAAAAACAATTCTTTGGTTCATTTGGAACCAGAAAAGAGCCCAAATAACCAAAGAAAACTTACAGAAAAGGAACGAACCTAAAGATATCACTTTACCAGAATTTAAGCTATACTACAAGACTATAGTAATCAAAACATCATGGTACTGACACAAAAATAGAGACAGACCAATAGAACAGAACAGAGAACCCAGATATAAAACCACCCACATATTGCCATCTGATCTTTGACAAAGCTTACAACAATATACACTGGGGAAAATAACCCCTATTCAATAAATGGTGCTGGGAAAATTGGATAGCCACATGTAGAAGATTGAAACAGGATCCATATTTCTTACCACTCACTAAAATTAATTCAAGATGGATAAGAGACTTAAGCCTAAGACATGAAACCATAAGAATTTTAGAAGAAAATGTTGGAAAAATTCTTCTAGATATCAGCCTAGACAAAGAATTTATGAAGAAGACCCCAGTGGCAATCACAGCAATAACAAAAATAAATAAATGGTACCTGATTAAATTAAAAAGCTTCTGTGTAGCCAAGGAAACACAGTAAATGGACAATCTACAGAATGGGAGGAAATATGGCCATGCTATACATCCGATAAAGGGCTAATAACCAGAATGTATAAAGAACTCAAGCAAATAAAAAAAAAAATCAAACAACCCATTAAAAGGTGGGTAAAAGACATGAACAGAAACTTTTCGAAAGAAGAAGCCAAAGGCTTACTCTAATTATTAACTACGTAGGGAGAAATGTACCTTATGAAGAGTTCTGATGGTAACCACCTTGAATGATCAAACTTAGCATCAAACTAGTAGTCTGATATATCACAAAACAAAGTATATAACTATACCTATGACATATTGCCAAAATGTTATCCTGAATCTAATTATTCCTTTAGAGCACACTTTCAGTTATAGGAAATACAGAGGGAGGAATGTAACGGGGGAATAGCCTGAAAAAGGGTTAAAATGTTTTCTGTCTCTCTAAAACCTCCCCCACTCCTTTTGGGAATTAAAACCTGCATCCCTGCCTCAGGCCAGTGGTTTGGAGGGGGCAGGGGAGTGTCCTTTGTTCTTCATACTATTCCCTCAAGGGAATTGTCCGGTGGAGGTCAAAACATGGTCTTAGCTAAAGATGGGATGAATCAGAACCATCAACTATAGTTGAACAGCAATAGCTTGAAGATGAAAACCTCCCCTTTAAAAGCTCAGTATTTCTGCTCAGAGGCAGAAAGTTGATACTTTAAAACTGGACTCAGCCAACCTCCTCATCTGCTAGTAAATTAATAAACTTCTCTTTCCTTCTCCTCAAACTATTTGTCCTTGTTCTTGTGATGCAGCCTCGGGGGACAAGTGCCGAGCTTTTGGTAACAGGAAGAATAAGTTAAATGATACTACAAGAAAACAATCAGATATATTAGAATGTGGGGTATTAGTAAAGACAATGATCTCTCTCTCTCTTTTCTTTTTTTTTTGGTGACTCTGGAGTCTTGCTCTGTCACCCTGGCTAGAGCGCAATGGTGTCATCATAGTTTACTGCAACCTCAATCTCCTGGGCTCAAGCAATCTTTCTGCCTCAGCCTCAGCCTAAGGCTTCGGAGTAGCTGGGATTATAGGCTCATGTCACTGCACCTGGCTAATTTTTTTATTTTTTTGTAGAGATGGGAGTCTTACTCTTGCTCAGACTGGTCTTGAACTCCTGATCTCAAGCAATCCTCCTACCTTGGCCTCCTAAACTGCTAGGATTACAAGTGTGAGCCACCGCACCCAGGCCCCAGATCTCTTAGTAAATTCATAAAAAATAAAAAGATGGGTGAACTATTTCTAGAATGAAAGAGACTGAAGAGATATAACAACTATGTGCCATGCTTGTAACTTGATTGAATCCTGATTCATAAAAACCTATAAAGACATTTTTGGGATATCTGTGGAAATTTGGATATGGAATAGATAGTAAATAAAATTAGAAAATAATTATTCATTTTCTTAGGTGTGATAATGGTATTGTGGTTATGAAGGAGAATGTCCTTATTATCAGAAAACACAAATTGATTTATTTTGAGATGAAATATCATGGATGTCTAGCATTTACTTTCAAATTGTTTTGTAAAAAGCTCCACAAACTATATATGTAGATACATACATATAGAGCAAACATACCAAAATATTAATCTCTGGCTCAAGGTGGTGGGTAAACAGGTGTTAATTGTATTATTAGAACCTTGATCTCTTTGAAGTTTTTCATAAAAGATATTGGGGAAAATGGCATTTGAATCAAACTTTGAAGGATATGGTGTCAACACTATGTTTTAAGACTGTTATTTTTACATCAGTTCATTAAAGACAAAATCAGAAAACAGATACTATTTTGTGACACACAATCTAGATATAACCACTTTTTAATGTTTTGAGGATATATATAGGTTGAGTATGTCTAATTAGAAAATCTGAAATCTGAAATGCTCCAAAACCTTAAATGTTCAAAAATCTGAAGCTTTTTGAGCAGTGTATGCATACACACGTACAACACTATTTTTTATTCTGCTTTTTCACTTAGTATCATCGATGCCTTTCCATGTGAGTAATTGTTCATTAGCATCAGTTTACTGGCTGCACGACATTCCATTGCAGAGATGTCTCTTCGTGATATGTTTAGTCTTCCATTGTTGGGTGGTGCAATGAACATCTGTTGAAACACATCTTTTGCTCATGTGTCTGATTATTTGGAAGGATAAGATTTTAGACTGCGGAAGGGGAGTAAGTGTAAATATGAGGAGAGGCACAGAGATCTAAAAGAATAAGGTGAGTACGGAAACAGTTGAACAGTTTACTTTGGGGGACATGACACTATAGGCGAGAAGGGCGGGCAGACAGGATGATCCTTGAATGGAAAAGGAGTTTAAGAAGACGATCTCATTTAAGTCTTAAACGATGCCAGGTACTGTTCCTAACACTTTTTCATGTATTAAGTTATTTAAACTGCAGGTACTATTATTACTCCCATCTATAGGCAAGGAAACTGAGATACGAAGTTAAATTGCCCAAAGTCACTCATCTAGTGATTAAAACCCACGTAGTCTGGCTCCAGACTATTTAACCCATTTTGCAGCAAAGGAACCATGCTGAGTTAAGCTGAAAACCGAGGTCTTTATAGGCTTCAAAACTTTCTACAAAATAGTAGACGGTGACAGTAAAAATGAATATGGACTCGATTTGTCCGTCCTACTTCCAAGAAAAGAAAGAAGCTTTAGGGGAGAACAGAGAAAATTTCCACAGATCCCTTATCCCCTCAATAAGACATTTAACAGTTGGCATTGCTCCCTAAGACGGTCACTTTGTCTGCACTGAACTGACTGGCAGTCAGGCTTCAACTGCGAGGAACTGAATTCCAAAAAGCGCGCGAGTCTCCAGACGAAAAAGCTTCCCGCCTCATAGCCCGTTGGAGCCAGCTCAGCAACAGCCTCTCCAGTCCCGGGCCGTGACGTCAAGGCAGGCTTTACGCTCGCCTTCCGGGATCTCTCTGCGTCTCCACGCCCAGAATAACCGGCGAGGAGGGATCTTAGCTCCTCCCACTGCCCCGGAAGTTAATGCAGAAGCTACCGCCTCCTCGGCCGGCAGGGGCACAGCCATTTTAATTCATATCTGAGTGGGCGGTGGTGATTCGTTTTGGCGGCCTGGCTCCGCTGGGCAAGGGGTAACTTTAGTGGTTTGGGGGTGGTTTTTAGTTTAATTTTTACTTTCCAGATTCCCATTGACGGCAAGTGCTCCCTTTCTAATCAGCTGAGGCCATGTCAGGAGACGGAGCCACGGAGCAGGTGAGGAAGGAGAGTGGTGGGGCCTCGTGGCGACCTCTTCTCTCCAAGTCTGTTCTTCCGACTGCCCCAGCCGTGTTCCCCTGAGGAAGGAATGAGGGATCTAGTGAACCCAGGGAACAGGGGACAGAAAAATGTTAGGAATGGGGAGCAATATCTGACTGAGACGTAAAATTTCTCGACTTCCCTGCTTTAGGCGTTAATACGAACAAATATTCGATTTAGACAATAGCCGGGAGACTGCTTCGTGCTATTTAGATTCATGGGAATACTCCGGATGGGATGCGTTCCTTTGATAGCATTTGGTGTTAGGGCGGTTAAGAATTGATTATTTTAACGGGAACCCGCCGTTTTTAGAGAAACTTGACAGTGTTCCCCCACAGTTAAATATACTGTATCCAGAAATAGGTTATTAGTTCTAGAAGTATTTGAGAGAAAACTAATCTGCAGAAATAGACTCTTGCGAGAGAGAATTAAGAAAGAAGCATTCTAGAAGTACAGCGTGGTTATGCTGAGATTTTGGGAATTTTGAGGCTTTCTCGCTTCCTTTTCTCCCTTCTAGCCAACATTTCATTTTCGTTTTTCCAGCTAAACAAACATTGCAGAATTTGATAATTTGAAAAGAGAAATCTGTCTTGGCCACTGTAAATGGAAGTGTCTGTTTTAGTATTAGATATGCGTGATATTTAAATAATTTAAAATTCAGGTTTTTAGGTAACTGATTTCCTTTTGCTCTTTGTGTTCTGAATTTTGTAGGAAAGTATTTCTCTTGCTGTGAAAGAGAAAACTAATATTTTATAAAAAATGTCATTAATTTGTTTTTCAATCTAAGTTCTATTATGTTTAGATAAATGTTTTTAAAATGGAGGCTAGGTAGCCTGCAGAGTCTCAATTTCCTGAAATTTCCCATTGCCATAGCAACGACATACACTTAGATTTTCATTTTTCAAGTCCGCAGCTTATAACGTGGAAGCTGTTATTGGAGGTTGACAGAGATGAGGCAGAATAAGAGTTCCTATTTCATAGTCTTGGGTGACTGTAAATTTCATTGTGTGGGCAAAGTTCAGCTAGACTGAGTTTTGTTTTTGCTCCAGGACTGATTTCAGCCCCGAAATCTTCACAGTGATTACGTTTTACATACAGTTAGGATGCCCAGGAATACAAAGCCTTAAAATTATTATATCAAAACTTTCTTTTACCTACTCCTTTCTGACTAGTATTTTGTCGTCTGAAAGTGAAGGAGGAGTGATGTACAGAGGTTTCATTGGCAGTTACTGAAATTCATGCTTAATTCTAAAATTTACCTAAAACTGTAAAGACACAAAATGTTGCCATGACCTTGAATATTTTAGAATTCCAGGTGTGGTGTTTTAATTTGGAGAGGTGGTGATGAAAATTTACAGAAAAAAATTTCCCCCCACAGTATACCTTGCTTGATGTTTAAGAGAATGGTCAGTGAAAATCTAGGGGAAAAGAGAGTGCCTAAAATGAGCTGAAATCATGGATGAGAAAAAGATTCAACAAAATTAAAGAATAAAAAGAAAAAATTCCAAAACCACTGTGAATCAAGGATTTGCTTTGGAAAGACGCCAGGGGATGAAGTGGACAAACAATCCTACAAGATATGAGGAGTAGATTTCTTTTGGCCTTTTAGTAGCATTTAAGCTCAGGTGTGTACGATAAACTTGATGATGTCTTAAATTTGTTACTAAAAAATATGATGGTCATTTCTCGGTAATGTGATTTGTGCCCTCTGAAAGAGGGAAATGATTGTAGACAAGCAAAATCACTGGTAAGGTTTACTGCTGTAATTTTTTTTACTCCTGTAAGGAGGTTTAATTTTGCACTTAGCTATTTAAACTACCTTAAAGCGTTCACGGATGTTCTTCTGAAGCTCCTTGTTTACCGTTTTCACCTGTTCAGTGGTGACAGAAGTTTGTGCATATAGGTTCCTCCCCGCCAACAAACACATTTGGTTTCTTTGTAGAATTATGGCTATGTTGTTATTTCATGATGGGTGGTTTTTTTGGTTTTTTTTTACTGCTTGGTTCAATTTTTGATCTCATTCTTTCTTAGCTCCACTGCGCATTACTCTTGCAGCATTTAATATGCTATTGTTTAGAGTTCTTCCACTGGGTTTTGAACTTTTTGAGTTGAAGAGTGCCTTACTCTCATCATTACATATTAAAAACCTAGGAAATACTATTTTGATAGTTAAAAGTGTTTGGTAAATGAATGGATTAATTTTGCATCTAGGCTATATGCAGTACATTACAAATTTCTCAAAGAATTTAAACTGTCGGGAAGACAGGTGCAAAAGTGATTAATATAAAATATAATGTTTGGGACATAAGAATGGGTGGTTTTTTAAAGTTTTGTTGGGTAGGAAGTGGTAGAGAAATGAGTTTGACCAAGTCAATTCATATGAACCTTTAAGCTAAAATTTTGTTTCTATACTCTTGTCTTTTAGAAATAATATTTCACCTTTTAAACAATATATAGCCTGTCCTAGAATTAGGAAGGCCTAAAATTCAAACAAAATGGTCCTCACTTTGGAAAAACTACATGACTTGAAGAAGCACAAATTAATTGCCAGTAGTTCTCAACAAAGAGGGGAATTCAGAGCATAAATCAGTGTTTTTCTTTTAGTGAAAAATAAGTTTGGGAAGATTTAGGAAATATATACTTATTAATGAGGAAAGGAAGTTGAAACACCCACAGTCTTGAAACCTGGTTTATTTTGTTGGGTAACCATTAGTACTTACAAACTGTTCAGAAGTAACAGCATTGCCAAACAATTTTAAAGATAAGGTGTGCATGTGTGTGTGGGTTAGCAAAAGGAAGGGAAAGAGCCAAGTGTGTATGTTGGACAATATCTGTTTTTAAGAAAATCTTTTTGTAATAGCCTTTCCTACTTTTCCCCCTCTTTATTTGAAGTGATATTTAGTGTAATAGTTTGGGGCAAGCAAATTGATTTAATCTCTATTGTTAATATTGCTTAGGTAGGAAAACTGGACGATATGGAATACTCTATTTGGCAATAATTGTTCCTAAGAGAAATTGATCTGTGATTACGGAATGAGAGTATTCTTAGAGGTACAACAGAAATATACTGTGTTAGGAGAGATTACATTCTTCAAGATTACATGGTTTCAGGGAATACAGGAGTATACATCCTAGGTAGACCATCAGAAGGGCAAAATCTGTATTTGGATGTTTATACCTTATTAATTGAACAATTGCCAAAAGCAATTTATGGTTTAAGTTTTTCTACCGTGTCTCTAACTCTTTATTTTTCTTCAGATAGGACCTACCTGTGTATTTGAGTCTTTTTGGTTTGTTTTGTTGGACAGTTGGTAATGATGTGAGAATTGATCTAAAAAAGGGATTTAAAGTCAGCAATTGTTTAAACTATTTTTAGATTAATGGACAACTTAGGATACACAGTAAATACTGAATAAAATCAGAAGGGCAAAACTATGTATCCTAATTGATTTTTTTTTAAATGTTTGACTTAATTTATCTAGTGAATTAATTGCTGGGCTACCCTTGGTTGAAAAAATTCCCATCTTTCAAATTCTAAAAGGTTAAGATTTTTAAAAAATTTTAGGCCGGGCGCAGTGGCTCATGTCTGTAATCCTAGCTCTCTGGGAGGCCGAGGTGGGCGGATTGTTTGAGCTCAGGAGTTCGAAACCAGCCTGAGCAAGAGCGAGACCCCGTCTCTACTAAAAATAGAAAGAAATTAGCCAAACCATTAAAAATAGAAAAAATTAGCCGGACATGGTGGCGCATGCCTGTAGTCCCAGCTACTCGGGAGGCTGAGGCAGGAGGATCGCTTGAGCCCAGGAGTTTGAGGTTGCTGTGAGCTAAGCTGACCCCACGGCACTCACTCTAGCCAGGGTAACAAAGTGAGACTCTGTCTCAAAAAAAAAAAAAAATTTGTAACGATTTGTTTCCTAGGGGATGAATAAGTTAAGTTTAATAAGAAATAATGATGTGTATAGTTATTTGAACCAATACCTTAAGCCTAGATCTTTTGTTTAAAATTTTCGAATTGCTTGCATGTTTAGATTTTTAGTCTTTGGAAGAGTTGAAGGGATTATATCATATCGCAGGATACACGTTCGATTTCTTTCATAACAAATATTTAGTAGGGTTTGGTTACGGTGGTATAGGAACATAGAAATAAGCTGGTATCCTGTCCTAATGTGACACTTGTTGCAGAACATATTCTCTAGGCATATTAATTGGTTCATTTAAATTAGTCCTCTAAGAAAGTCTTACAGAGTGCTACTGTGGTCTGCTTTTAATTTTGGAAAAAAGGTTACAGAGAGAGTCTTAAGACTTCAAATATAGAGTATAGCAGTTTTCTTAATATTTTGGCAAAACGTTTAATTGGAATGACTTAGGTCTGATGCCACCTTATTTGTAGGGAAACATGACATTTGGAAAACTTATTTACAGAATAGATCGATTAGGTAGTTTTTCTTAAAGTGGAGTCCATGGCCCATTTGCATCATAACCGCTTAGCTGCTTTATAAAAGTATGGATGCCTAGACTCCAATTTCAAACCTACCATATCAGGTTCTGTAAGTGTGGCTGAGAATCTTCATTTGAAAGAAGTACCACAAATGATTTTTATGTAAATTAAAGCTTGCAGACCACTGAGTTAGAGAGGATACCTGGACCTTAAAAGTTGTTTTTAAATACATTCTTGGTAAATAAGTGGAGGAAAAAATTGCAGATAATCTGAGGATAGGATGTTAGTGATTTTCCTACGTGCTTGTCCCCTGCGCCCACTATATTTAGATAATCTTTACTTTATGAGAAATACTCATTACAAAACCAGGGTTGAGTTCTGTTGGTCATAGTTAAGAGCATACATAGGTTTAAATCTTTAATCTACCATCTTTTTCCCTTTTCATAGTTTGGTGTGTATCACTTGCATTAAGCTGATCCCTCTTTTAACTTAATTTCAGTATGATCCCCTAGCATAACACCTT